ATATAATATATATATAATATATATATATATAAATATATATATATATATATATTAATATATATATACATATATATATATATATATATAATATATATATTATATATACATATATATATATATATATTATATATATATATATATATATATATATATATATATATATATATATAATATACATATACATATACATATACATTATACATATACACATTATATATTATATATATATATATATTATATATATATATATATAATTATATATATATATATAAATTAGGAAAAAATCCATTTGGTCAGTTGGTGTCAATGTTTTAATATTTCATATTCGCAATTGCTACATGTAACACAAAAACTTACTTTTCCATGTGAAAGTGCATGGTAAGCTCTTATTATTACCCACCATGAAAACAAGAATATTATGCACTGGCTATGTTGTGTTTATACATCTATACTTTTTAGTGGAATTTCCTTAATGCATCAAATTTTGCTATCATAATCACACAAGTAATTTATGATTAGTTTTTAACACTGCTCAGACCATTCAAAACCACAAATGCAATATATATATATATAATATATATATATATATAATATATATATATATATATATATATATATATATATATAGGTATGTATGAAACAAGGTATTAGAACTTTTTGCCTCAGTACTTGTAAAGGTTCAAATCACCCTGGTTGGCACTATGTATTTTATTTTATTTTTATTTTATTTTTTATTTTCTTTCTTTTTTTTCTTTTTATGTTTTTATTTAGCTTTTATTATAAATATTTATATATATATATATATATATATATATATATATATATATATATATATATATATATATATATATGGACATTTAAGAATAATGATGTGAAATGTAAGCCTGTATAGTCTTTATTGTTAATAAAGTTTCCATTCTTCCAGGGAGAAGAAGCGTGAACGAGAGAGGGATGAACTCTGGAAGAAGCTACAAGCACTAGAGCTGAATCATCAGCAGAAACAACAGTGAGAATACATGAATGGTGTAGTGCAGATGGTCGGAGGTTGGCCTGAGAAGTGGCGTCATAATGGTGTGGGCGCGCTTGGCCCTACTCCCTTCCTGATGATCATGTGGGCCTGGGGCTGGACCTGTGGAATACCATCACCAAGTTCACATGCATCAACCATACAACTCAATTTAGTTTTGAATGTATTCTGGTCATAAAAATGAAGCCATAAGCATAGCTGTGCAAATTTTCCGAGTCCTGTTGTTGTAGAGACATACGTGTAAGCTACTGAAGAGTGATGGTGCCCTGGATAACCTTTAGGGGTACAAACTATACCCTTTCCCCAGGTAACATCAGCAGGGAAAATGGTGTAAGGATAGCAATCTAGGCTATATGTCTATTCTGTATGTAATATGTACTATATGGTAGCCTACATAAACTGATGACCTTTGTAATTACTCAGTAGGAGAGATTGTAAGATGTGTGTATGAGATGGGAGGAGCGTTGAAGGTGCTGTTTGGCTTGGAGAAGTTACCGAGAAAAGAGTGGCCCTGTACATGTCCCACAAGATGCGGACCAGTTCGCTGCTCCCTGTGGGGGCTGTGCTATGCTCACCAGTTCCTTGCTAGGATTTGGTTCAAATTGAATTATTTACAAATGATTTCATGCATAGGTATTGGGCCTAATTCTGGGTTATGATTTACTTTACTGGACTTTTTAATCTACTATTATAGGTAGGCCAATTGTTGTGTTTTGGAGAGGGCTTTTAATATTGAACTGATCAGCAGGTTGTTCAGGTCACAAAAGTGAATTTGTGATTGTAGTTTCCTTTGCATTAGTTAGGAAATAGTGTATGTCATTGCCCAAGTTTGATTCATGCAAACCACATTATGTCTCCTGTCTGTCAAGGTAGTCATCCTTTCCTCTCATGATTGTACATAGGTTGAGAGTCTGTGTGCACCAATTCTTGATGCTATTTATAGCCATTGTGTTGTGGCCCAAGTAGTCACTGGGAAAAAAGAACAAAAAGTTACAGGACTTGGTCTTGATTTGGCAATGTCTAGTCATCCCCATATGTGTGGACTTGGGGCAATGAGGCCTCACTGTTTTGTAGTCTAGTTTATGTGGATGATTTCACTTGCTTGTTGTCCCCTGTGTTGCTAGCTGATCAGCTGGTTGGGAAGTACAGGCCCCACTGGTCAGTAAGTTGGGCAGTAATAGAAAAGCTACCCAGTTTTACTGATCGTGCTTCCTGTGCTGAGTATATCCTCTCCCTTTTGATTTCATTTTTATTTTTTATTTTTCAATTTACTTTATTTTTTTTATTTTTTTCATAGGAAGTGCATTTTTTTCCTGAGAGTGGGAGTTGATGTTTGCTCTCACCAATGATTTATGCAACCAGTACCAATGTTTAGTGGAAGGGGTGTGCAGAGGCTCAAACAAACTATTTATGATACTGGCTGGCCAATGTGAAAGAACCTAATTATTGTGTGTTAATCTGGTGCAATAGTGTGACTCATCTATAGCTGCTGGTGCCCCCTTTTTAGGGGAATGTGTGCTGTGCAGGTGGTGTCTTGTGCAGATGCCTGCAAGAGGTGAACAATAAAACCATTTATCCCAGGAACTGTAGTGTGCACTGCCCCCTTCCTACCAAACTCTTCATTAGTGTGCACCAACCTGGCAACCAACATAACTATTCAAGAGATCTGTAAACGTGCACCCATCCTGGCCATCACCGCCACCACCTTCCTGAATATTCATTAAAATTAACAATGCCATCAATTTGAGAACCCATATTAGGCACCTGCTTTGTAACCACTATATTCCATAACCAGGATATTCAACAGTCAGACTTAATTCCATTCCCCCTCCTCCCCCGAAGTTGTGCCTCACCCTGTTGCTACCATCATTATGGGATTAAATATGTGTAAATTGTGTAGATAATTAATATCATCATCACAGAGACTACTAGAGACAGCAACTACTTCAGTACTGCCAATATTCTGGTCACCATCACAGCCACAGCGTTTATGGGATTGGTGTTGTACACTCCACTTTCTTCGTTCAATGGAGTAGGAAGATCACACCCATTTAACCACTGTGCCCGTTTGTCACTGTTTTGCCACCGAGTTACAAATCCACACCGTGTGCGCTCACTTACGGATTGCAATTCCTAGGATTTATATTGAGCAACTTTGCAATCTTCCATAAGCCTGCAGTTTTATAACTGTTCTGGGTTGCAGAAGCATAGAGCAGTGTTGAGACTTGTCACCTGTATTTACCATATGTTAGGTTGTTTTAATGGACTGTATTAGGTAACTTTCCCAAGGGACTGTTGATGTGCAGTGAACAAGCACCACCACCCAGGATAAACAAGTGCACAAGTTACTTCCTGCAGATAGGCTAGAGAAGTGCACTCAGACCAGCTGGATCCTACAGGAACCTGGTGGTGTTCACCTGCCCCTTCCATGTTCTTGATGGGCATCAAGGCACCTGCACAAATCAGCCAATCTATTTTCAGTAAAGCTTGTATACAATGTACAGTCAAACCTTGATGTGTAATATTATTAATTATAAGCTAGAGATGTGATGAGATTGTTGGAAAAAATTTGTTACACAACTGATGAGATGGTGTGGACACTTTGTATGTATGTCACACGAGATGTAGACTAGCCTTTGCCACATGCTTTACTTCTGCCTTGTATGTTTGTAAATTTAACTGTACATGTACATACACCTGAAGCAGAGTAGGGTGTGAGTGTGGCAGCCTGCTCAGGGTCCAGATCATGCCGGATCTAAACCTTTAAATAGTTTCATTTAATATTATTATGGATTGCATTTTTTTCAGCTAAGCCGCAATGTGATTTGTTTGAAATGCCTTTATGCTGGTTATATCATTTATCAAAAAAGTAGGAGTGATGAAAATAACAAGTTGCTTAATAGGAAGACTCTGCCATAGCTTCCTCTGGAGTCTCATCACTGCGTTGTTCAAGCAGATCATAATATGCAACCATTTCCAGCAGACTATCAGGGGAATGGGGTGAAGTTTGAATAATCTCTTTGGGTGTCTTACAGTGCTGAAGGTGGTGGTGGAATAAATATCAGGCTGTCTAGTGTATAAGTGTTGATGAAATTTGTTTCCTAGCAAATTGGCAAATTGCTTTTAGGTGACCAATGCATAGAAAGAACACATATCATGGAACATGAAGTGGTCTTGAGTGGATAAACTATACCTTTGTAGCTGGTGTCTAAAAGAAAGAATAATAATGTGCAGTGGGTAGAGTGACAAGAGAAAACTAGATAGCAGCAGCAGCAACTCAGCTCTGCAAAGACATTTCAGATACTGCAGGAAGTGGCTGATGGAAAGATGGAGGTTCATGGAAGGACAGAGATGGACTCTAGTAGGCTGCTGCCTCGGCTTCACAATGGCATTCTCTGGGTTGCATCTTTCACTTGTGGAGATGTGATATTTTAATACTGCTTTTTCTGTATGGAACTTGTTCTATTATTTCTATTCCTGTAGACTAGATAGTGCCAACATGATGCAATAGCATTATGCAGCTAGGGTCTCACACAGCCACTGGTGAGCACCAGCTTGGAGACGTGGCGGTGTTGATGTGCCTCTAGGCTGTGTCCTCCCCCCGGGCCCAGTACTGCCTGTTGTGAGCCACACGGCCGTCGCCTCGTCACTCAGAGAAGCAGCAGCAACATCGCCTCACCGTTTTTAACTCCAATCAGTCTGGGATGTTAAAATTAAGTAATAATACCATTATTGTAATCTTCATAACTTTCTGTTCACATAATGTAAAGCAAGACAATAAAGAACTTAAAAGTTTGTCTCATGCATGTTATGTCCTTGGTAGTTACTTCCAACTTTGCCAATATTCTCATGGGCTAAGAATTATCAGAATACATGGTGACATTATAAGGATTTTTTGTTCATATTACTTTTATAGAGCATAGTTATGTCTGGTTAATGTCATGTGATAGTCCCTAATATAGTTAAAAGTTGAGGAGCTGCAAGTAGTGGTCAGACAAAGCCAGAATTAGCATGGAACACATAAAAATCTGGTATGTTGTGAAAACCTGTTTTCCATTATGCTACTGATTAATTTTTATTATTTATGTTTACATATTTATTTATTTATTTATTTCATTTACAAATTCTTTACATAATTGTCGCATATTTTTATATCTTGCTGTTGCTCCTATATATATATATATATATTGTTCAACATAAGGTTTATCTCTAAGGAAGGTTAGCAATTGTCTATCTGCTCACTTTTAATTTCATAAGAGCTTTAGGGTAATTCTCTGACTGATGTTACTTGGTACAATTATTTTTGTACACCTTAGATTTATATTTTAGTCCATTATGGAGGTCTACCCTATGAAGGAAGTAGTGATTCCTTTTTTTCCATCACCAGACTATTGGACTTCATGTCATCTCCCAAACAGACACCAACTCACTTTTGCAATAGGTCAGTGAAATTGTGGTCATCTTCATAATGATAATTTCTATCAAAAAACTTTAGTGAGGGTTTGAATCAGCCACACATTCATCATGATGTCATACCTACAGCAACCATATGCATTAGCCTCATGAAGTAATCTGGTATCAGAAAAGTAACTCCTTGGTACCTTCTGTTGTCACTTGATGTTTTTGGAGCAATGTTTAAACACTCCACTGTCAGGTAGCAGAGCAGAGCAGAGCATGTCTTGCAAGCATACTTCGGATTCCAGCAGCTGCAAATAGGTAATTGTGTAAAAGCCACAAGCCAGTCCAGCCATATACAACACTTGTTCAGGACTTCTCTAGCCATTTACAAGGATTCATGTACTATTCCAGAAAATAGCATTGTGAAAAGTATTTTAGCCAAAAAGAAATTAATAAATATACAGTACTTAACTATGGATCATCATTTTGCATGGCACTCTTTCCATGCAAAGGAAGAGCCTTACAAAAATAGAAAAAAAAAGGTTTATTACATCCTTTCATTAAAACCAAAACATCAACTGTAGCATTCTGAGCTGCGTAGAGGATAATTCCCAGAGTGCCTCATGATGTGCTATGTATATTTGTTAAAATTTGATTAGAAGCATTAATTTTGCAAAACTTCCATGTGTGATCTGTCCCCAAACTATGGGTCGTAAGGTATATCAATTTAAAGATTAGCAATTTTCATTTCAGTAAAAAAAAAAAAGGAAATATATCCTGTACATGCTAGTGTCTTTTCTTTTTAGGTGTAAAAATAAGTGCATAGGCTTCCTCTACCACATTTCATCCATCCCTTCCTCATTTTGCCTCAGAATAATATCCTTTGCCAGAAGTAGTTTTATTGATAATCACAATAAGAGTATTTCCCACTATGGGCATAATGTAATGAATTCTTATATGATTAAAATGGAAACCTAGTGTAAAATAATGTAACCCATTGGTAATTTTTCTTGCCATCCTCCTCTTATAATATAATTTTCCATTTAACATACAACTTTTGAACAGCATTCTAAACTTTAAACTATAAATAAAAATTGTATGTGCAGACTTAATATATAGCAATTTTGCTTTTAACCACATCTTATTTTATGAAATTTATGCTCATATTTGTGTTAAATAGCAGTAAGTGCATGATATAGCCAATATAAACCTCATAATTTATAGGGAAATTTGTATCTTTAAACATTTTCTTTGTTTCTCTTCTGTAATTTCCTGGAGATAAGGGTACAGAACAGAAATTGGACCTACCTACCTATGATTTGTTTTGCCTTTTGATGTTTATTTATTATACCTATAAATACACTAAAACTGTTCAAACCCAAGATGGACTAACCAGACATTGTGATTATCAGTTTTCTGGCAAAGATTTAAAGAAGCAATATAATGAAATTAACCTAATTGTGCTCATTTGACTTTGGTTGAACATATGGTTCATTAAAATAAAATATTTAAATATTGTAATAATTTCTGTCTTGTGCTGATATTTGAGAGTATGCAGTGCTCCTTCCAGAAGTACTAGAGCGCATTATATGCTTGTAATGTATCCCCAGTGCCCTATTGTAATGACAGTTTTAAACCAAATACAAACAAAAGAATTTTAACTGAATTATCTTTTCCTTCTTGTTACTAATTTCTTCCATTACAAAATATTTGCTTTCACTCTTGTCTCATCTATTTCTACTTATGTGAAACTTTGAGGGTGAAGAAACTTAACATGGCCATGGTTGCACTACATCCCATTCTTTCTGTAAAGTTAAAAGTGGTGTGAGTTGAAAAAAAAAATGAAAACACTCACCATTTATGATAACCTCAAATATATGATTATTTTGTAGTAGATCAAGGTTTGGTCTTTTTTCTGTGAAATTAATGTATAATGTTAAGTAAAGCTGGATGCTGAACATTTTTATTTTAATAAATGTTCTTGTTCTATTTATATAACAAAAGATTTCATGAGCACAATACTAAATGTTACATTCGCTACTGTAACCATATACAAGTATTTTCTATTACTTTTCTTGAAGCTAGCCTTAGTTTATTGAATTGGATGGCTCAAATATATACAAAATTTCCAAAAAACTCTCCTCTCCTTCAGAAGGCTGATAACATTAACTTAGTAACCTATTATATGATGTTCTGTTGAATAACCATGATAAAAATTATAGTAAAAGTTACCTTCTGACTTTAGCTTCTACTTTACTAGTATGAGTTTTTTTTTTGTTCAAAAATGTGTATATATATATTTATATAGGTAACCAATGTAAATATATTATCATGTCTATACACAAATGTTTATGTAGTATGCATATATGTGTACAAACTTCTGATAATAGTAAGATCATTTGCATCAAACTGTTCTCTTTTTCAGATCATATGATTGTGTAGATATATGATGATACTAAACTTAGTCTTACTGCCTATGTCAAACATCTATTTAACCATGTATAAGGCATCAGAGCAAACATTAGAACTGTAGTCTTACTATAAGGAGCTAAATACTTGGTTCATTTTGGTATGAAGGAATTACTGAACATGAGTGAATGGAGTCATACACTTTGCATGCATTTCCTGTACACTGTAAATAAAAGTCAACTGGATAAAGCTACCTTATGACCCACCAAATTTTGCAATGTAAGGACACCAATTTATTTAAGCTATATTATCATCTTGTTTATATCCATTTGTGGTCAATGGATAATGCTGAGGAGTCATTGAAACAATGTCTAACAACCTGAAAAATATCTAGAATGGAGCAAAAGGCAGTTCTAAACATAACCTAAAAATTATCCATCCCCAAGGTGATTTAAGGAAAATGAAAAAATCACAGTATTTAAGAGTAAATGAATTGATTGCTTTCATACATTTAATGAAGAACAAAAACTTTATTTGCTTTCACATACTTTATTTTCAGTTACGTTGTGTGAGCAAATGTGTAAACCTATGATGATTGCACATTCAATAGTTTGTCCTATGCAGTTATATATTATTTATGTTTAATTTCAAATCTTAGATTTTATTAATAACTTATTTCAGTTTATCCTTTTTATAAGGCCATGTTACAGGAAATATATAGATAACATTAAAAAATATATTTGTATATATAGATACATTTTTGTGCATCTATCAACAGTTTTAATGTGCTATACTGTTTTTGTTTTATTACAATATGACTTCATATAATTGGTATGCCAGTTATTACAATAGCTATTGTAAATACACCTGGGGATGAAACCCACATGTAACTTCTGCTTTAGACCTATCAACAGGTATGTTCATTAAGGTCTGCAAATCAATGAAAATTACCATGCTAGGTATGTCAGACTTCTCTGCTCTGAATCATTCAGGGTATAAAATTCTTAGTAAAACCATTTCTTTACAAACAAGTTATTACATGTCTATTAGGTACTGTTGCTTCATGTCAAAAACTTTCCCCATGATAAATAAAAGGACCAAGATATAGAAATGAACACTGAAATTTTATATTTTCAGAACTTTCCCTATAGGCAGACCTTTGCTAATATTATCTGATTCCTTTCTATCTGAAAAATGAATCCAATTTTTGAATTTTGCCTGATTTACTTACAACCTCCCCTTTACTTGGTCTTCCTCTCTTCTTGCCTCTTAAATTCCTGCTGAAGTCTTTATTGATCCTTGGTGTTAAGCTCTCAGAATCTTGTCTCATTTCCTGTCTTATATCTGTTTGAAGCCTCAGGGCTACATGATAATCAAGGTGTTCTGGCATTTCAAACGCAGATATCTGAGCACCACACTCTTCACACTCTACTGTGTCGTCATTGCTTTGAACGCTTCCAACAGTCTTTGTACTTCCTTGAGCCACAGTTTCAGGACTTTCATGACAGTTCAGGAGCACCTTTGTGGCCTTTTGGATGCCTCCATTCACAAATGCCATGCAACTGCTTGATTGTGGAGATCCTTCTGGAATAACACTCCTGTTCTTCTGTGGTGTGACAGATGTACTTGAAGCTTGCTTGTCTGGAGATGATGTGCTTTTGGATGGGCTGCTTGTGACATATTTCCATAAACCTGTCTTTTTCTGCTTAACTTCTGTTTTTGCCTTATGAGCTGCAAGAGCTTTTTCTACTTCAGTTCTCAAGTCACTTGGCAACATGGGCAACAAGGATTCATCAAAATTATCTAGATCTGGGAAGAGTTCGTGAACTGACACTTTCGACCCACTGTGTGTTTCAAAATTATGACCAATCTGTGCTTCTCCTTGAAGTCCATCCAGAGACCTTTCTGCTTCTTCAAAATTATCCAAAGGATCAATGTTTGCTTCATCAATTTCAATGTGTAACTGCTTATTTCCTTTTTCCTCATTACTGACATCATAATCCATAAAAAGATCTTGACTACCATCATTCTGAGTTGCAAAACTTGAATCAACATCAGTGGAAGCTTGATATATAGAGTCGTCATCACTATTACTATCAATTTCACCATTATTATCCTGGCCACTATCTACTTCCTCTTCATTTTCATTTTCTTCTAATTGACTTACTAAAAGGTCAAGATCTGCATTTTCACTTTCTTCAGCAGATTCATCTACCTGAATTTTGTCAGCACCAGGGACTGAATTTGTCAAGGTCTCTTTATCATCATTCACATCTCCTGCCTTCATCTGTTGTCTTCGCAAGAGAAAGTTCCTGAAAAATGAATTACTTGAACCTGCACCTACATCCTGTGGTTTCTTGGGGTTGTATTCAAGGTTATCTTCCGGAATTAATTTTGTTTTAGCTGAGGTATTTTCCTTTGCTAGTGGACTAACCTCATGAACCAAATTACTTTCCATAGACAAGTCATGGGAAGAATACTGTGTTCTTTTATTCTCTTTGTTGGTTAAACTTTCATCCATTAACCAGTCTGTCACTAATGACGATGGCACTGTAGAAGTTATATTTGCTTTTGCAACTTTCTTGAACATTTCTTGGATACTGCCTGAACTAGCTCCAGCCCAGTCCTCAAACTTTCCTGCTGAAAGACTTATATTCTTGATGGCTGGTGACCTGAAACAAAAAACCTTCACTTAGTTATAGAAGACAGTTTAAACCACTTCAAACAATGCTTTTGATCACATACTGAACTGTAATTGAAATGAAAATGTTGTGGAATAAATACTGTGTGGTATTATGAAAATATCCAAAAACTATAATGAACACAAACAGTAATATGACCGAAACTAAATATATAAATTTCATATGCACCAACATAATCCATAAGAAAAAAAGATGTCCTTTTACTTTATATACCTTTTTATTTTTTTAATTTGTCACTGGCATCACTGGAACATGTGTTTTGGTTATATTTTTAATTCAGTAGTATACAGATCATATTACTGTCATCCTTAAAAGTGCATTTAATATATCACAAAACACAGCCCAACAGTCATGCACTTAATAGAGAGACTATGACATGTAAGTTTGAACAGAATATAGAGTTTAATATAAACAAAAATAAATAAATGGGCAAAGTATGTTGGGGCCAATATAAGTTAAATGATCCAAAATATAATGGTGACTATATCAATCAAAGAAACAGGAATTTAGTCAATCCTTGGCAATACACATGTTCCTTTTGTAATGTAAGTATTTACGCAAAATAAAACCTCTCAAGATTTTAACCTCCTGATGCTATGAGTGCATTTATACTTGTGCTATCCAATTTGGTTTTGTTATATTTTTTTAATTCATACTTCATCCTACCTATTTACTCTTCCTCTTGAAGCTTTTAGTTTGATTACTATTACCATATACTGATGATAATGATAGAAAAAATAGTAACATTAACAACAATAATAATAAGACTGATAATAATAATTATAACAATAATAACAAAAACAATAATAACACTACTATAAATTAAAACTTCTCAGAAATTTCAAGAAATGGGATTACTATAGGTACAGGTAGGCTTGGTTACTGACTTCATGACTATGCAGTTCTTTACAATAACATCATAAATGAAGTTATTTATGATTCCAGCAGGAGGCGCTGGTAGAAAGAAAGCAGAAATATTAATTTCTATGACTATTATGAGGCGTGAATTTCTTCCCTACTGTCTTGTCTTGGCCTATTCATTACATCAAGTGATCAGTTCAAATAACATGGACACAGTAAAATAGACTATATATTTCTAAACAAATCACACAAAATATATAAAAATCTGTAAGATTTCCTTATGAATAGACAGTGGTTTAGAGTGTAGTGTTTGTCCTTCATTTATAAAATAAAGTAAAAAAAGATATATAAATTAATAAATGAATATATCAACATATATACACACATGCAAAGGAAAGATAGATCGATCTAGATAAATACATATACCTGTCTGCATATGCGTGCCCCCCCACATACACAAATAATAAATAAATAAATAAATAGAAAAAACAATGTCAAAATAATACACACACACACACACACACACACACACACACACACACACACACACACACACACACCACTCACACTCACACTCACACTCACACTCACTCTCACACTCACACTCACACTCACACTCACTCTCACTCTCACTCTCAACACTCCATACTCACTCTCACTCACACTCACTCTCACTCTCACACTCACACTCACTCTCACTCACACTCAAAGCCTGCACTGATCCCATTATCAGTTGATTGTAGATCTCATGGGATCAGATGGTATCACTTTGATTGACAGCTTAGATAATTAGGCACAGCTATGGTCCAAGGGCCATGACTTGGGTAGTTGTGATACTGCATTAGTTACATAACATTTTCTTGCATACCTTAAAAATAAATAAGCTAAGAAGCAAGACAAGTATATATATTTCTAACAATGCACATGTCCCTGTATCATCATAAAAAGCAGAAAGTATAAAATGGCTGGAAATTTTCTGTAGTATAAGTAATACATGATGAGCTAACTGAAAAAAAATCTATAGTATATTCGTATATATATTACAGGAGCAGACAAAGGTTTATTAAAATAAATGCACCCTGCACCAATGGATTAAGCATCCTTTCAAAAAAGATGGTTAAACTTTAAAAATGAATAAAAGTTGTATTCAGCCACAGAAATCAGGTATAGACTAAGTATACATCATGTGTAGTGCAAAGAAAAAATGAAGATGAAAAATATAAAAAATAAAAATGACTAAGCCTGTTTCAAATAACATAATAAGTTACTAACCACACTGAATCCTTTGGTGGTGCTTCATTGGTGTGCTGAATGAGTGAGATGGCTACTTGGGTTATGCGCTCTGCACTGTATGACGGAAGACTACATGATCTTGAGAGGGAAGTCCATCGTTCATCTCCATCTAATCTTACACTGACTGTAATCGTCTTTGCTCTTCTTTTATTCTGCAGTTCGACATAAGTATGCAAAATGAGTAAAGTATTCAACAATCACACTTTCCTAAACACTTTGTATTCAGATATCGTCATTTTGAAAACATGACCAATTTTATCATGGCATTAACAGAAAACATCCTAACTCAATTTCTAATTATGATAAACTCACTGCTGTTTGGTCCATCATTAACCTCTCCGACAATTCATCAGCAAGGCTGCGCATCCACTTTTGTACCTGCGAGAAAAAATGGAAGAAATTTTCTTAGTACAAGAACAAAGAAAAAGCTGAGAAACAGGAGACAAGACAATAAAGGGAGAGAGGGAGATAGAGAGAGAAAGAGAGAAAGAGTGAGAGGGAGAGAGGGAGAGAAAGAGAGGGGGAGAAAAGAGAGAAAGAGAGGGGGAGAAAAGAGAGAAAGAGAGGGGAGAAAAGAGAGAAAGAGAGGAGAAGAGAGAAAAGAGAAAGAGAGGGGAGAAAAGAGGAGAGAGAAGAGAGAGAGAGAGAGAGAGAGAGAGAGAGAGAGAGAGAAGAGAGAGAGAGAGAGAAGAGAGAGAGAGAGAGAGAGAAGAGAAGAGAGAGAGAAGAGAGAGAGAGAGAGAGACGAAAAGAGAGAGAGAGGGGGGGGGGGGAGGCGGGGGGGGGGGAGAAAAGAGAGAAAAGAGAAACAGAGAGGGGAAAAAGAGAGAAAAGAGAACAGAGGGGGAGAAAAAGAGAGAAAGAGAAACAGAGGGGAGAAAAGATAGAGAGAGAGAGAGAG